TTGGGCTGATTGATAGGAGGTATTCCTTTCACCATGCATTTGGCAGATAACATTTTTAAGTCACCAAAATTTAAATGACCATACCTCATGTGCCAAATCCACGAATCATCTTTCAAGCATGCTTTCATGCAGTTCTCATGTTGAATGTTCAACAAGAACATTCTATTGCTTGTCATTGGCACAATGGTAATCAATTTTCCTTCTGGATCCTTAACTATGGCACTACGATCTTTCAAATGAATATTGTAATTTTTCTCCAGAAGTTTTCCCAAGCTCAAGATATTACTCTTAAGACTTGGAACATAATAAACTTCTGAGATGTATTGGTGACTTCCATCTTTAGCAAGGATTAGTATCTTACCTTTGCCTCCAACCCTTGCGCTAGAATCATCTCCAAACATCACGTACCCTTTGGCTGGTTCCATGTCTACGAACAACCTTTTTTCCCAAGTCACGTGGTTACTCGCAGCGGAGTCAAGATACCACGTCTTCTTCTCTCCTTTGTCCTCGTGTCTCGCCATTAAGAGAGTGAGTTGAACTTCATCTTTAACCTTCATAAGATTGGCTTTTTCTTTTACTTGACTAGAATTTCTACACTCACTTGCATAATGACCATATTCTTGGCATTAAAGCATTGGATTCGAGATTTACCTCCTCTCTGAAACTTCATACCTCTTTCACGACCTCTTATAGAGCCTTGGTTGTTTTCCTCTTTGGTAGATTGAACATAGCTTCCTCGAGCTCTTCCTCGTCCACGTCCTTGAAATCCACCATTGCCTCGTCCAAGGCCTCTGCCACGTCCAAAGCCTCCATCTCTTTCTTTGAAAGAGAGTTTTGTGTAGAGGACTTGCTCCAAAGATTCTTTGGGCCTCCTTTTCTTTAGTTTCTCTTCATGGGCTACTAAAGTACCCATGAGTTGATCAATGGTCATAGAGTCAAGATCTTTTGACTCCTCTATCGCTACCACAATATAATCAAAGCTTGGTGTCAAAGAGCGAAGAATTTTTTCTATCACTCTTGTGTCACTCAAGCTTTCTCCATTCCTCTTCATCTCATTTGACACTTTCAAGATACGAGAACAATAATCTGAAACAGATTCGGACTCCTCCATTTGTAAAGATTCAAATTCTCCTCTAAGAGTTTGAAGACGTACCTTTTTCACCTTCTCAATGCCTCTATTAGCATTCTATAGAATATCCCAAGCCTCCTTTGATGTGGAAGCATTTGCCACCTTCTCGAACATGGAATCATCTAGACATTGATGGATAACTGAAAGAGCTTGTTGATCCTTTCTCCTTGCTTTTTTGAGTTCCCCCTTTTGGGCAGGAGTCAAAGAAGCCTCATCTAGAGATTTCTCATAACCTTTCTCAACAATCTCCCAAACCTCATGAGAGCCTAAGATCGCCTTCATTCGAATGGACCACTTACCATAGTTTTCTTTGGTAAGTTGAGGGAATTGGAAAGAGATCATTCCATTTACCATCTTACTTCAAAGCTGGACCAACACCAGCTCTGATACCAGTTTGTTAGCAAGAGAACCCTTTGGGTTATAAGGAAGAGATCTTTTAGGTGATAGGTTTAGGAAGTGAAAATAGAAGAGTAGGAAATTTTGGGAGAAAGGGAGCTTTACTACTTTATAGTAAAAGGAAAAAAGGTGGAGTGTATTAAGCTACATAAGGGGATCTTATGTGTAGAGAGTTGTGAGAAACCTTAAGGTTACGAAGAGGCAGCAAGGAACGAGACGTGGAGACACGCTATGGATGAGGAAATAAGATCCATAGAAAAGAACCAAACTTGGGAGCTAGCCTCTCTTCCAAAAGGCCACAAAGCAATTGGAGTAAAGTGGGTGTTCAAAGCAAAGAAAAACGCTAAAGGAGAAGTTGAGAAGTACAAAGCAAGACTTGTCGCCGAAGGCTACAAGCAGAGACGTGGCATTGACTACGAAGAGGTATTTGCTCCTGTTGCTCGCTTGGAGACTATTAGGTTAGTAATTTCTACCGCTGTCCAAAATAGATGGAAAATCCATCAAATGGACGTAAAGTCTGCATTCTTAAATGGCTTTCTTGAAGAAGAAATATATGTGGAGCAGCCAGAAGGATATGTGGTCAAAGGCCATGAGAATAAAGTTCTCAGGCTAAGGAAGGCTCTATATGGTTTGAAACAAGCACCAAGAGCCTGGAATACAAGAATTGATCACTATTTTTAGGAAAATGGTTTCAAGAAATGTCCAAGTGAACATGTACTCTATGTTAAGTTTTCAGGCAATGGAGATATGTTGCTTGTCTGTTTGTACGTGAATGATCTCATCTTCACAGGAAATTCGCCTAGCATGATTGAAGATTTCAAAAAGGCAATGACTAAAGAGTTTGAGATGACTGATATAGGACGTATGTCCTATTTTCTTGGCATCGAGGTCAAGCAATTGGATGATGGAATCTTCATCTCTCAACAAAGATACGCTAAGGAAGTTTTTAAGAAATTTGGCATGGAGAAGTGCAAGCCAATAGCCACCCCCATTGAATATGGAGCAAAGCTCTCAAAAGATGATGAAGGAGATGTTGTAGATCCAACTCACTTCAAGAGCCCTGTTGGAAGCCTACGTTATTTAACATGCACAAGGCCTGGTATCCTCTTTGCTGTGGGACTTATCAGTCGATTTATGGAAGCACCTACTGCGACACACTTGAAGGCTGCCAAGAGGATACTTCGCTACATCAAAGGTACTATTGATCTTGGCTTGTTTTATTCCTCATGTGATGACTTCAAGCTTGTGGGATTCAGTGATAGTGACTGGTCTGGAGATTTGAGCGAACGGAAAAGTACTACTGGATTCGCATTCTTCCTTGGCAACACTACCTTTACATGGGTTTCTAAGAAACAATCTATAGTCACCTTGTCATCATGCGAGGCCGAGTACGTAGCAGCAGTATCATGTGTATGTCATGCTATCTGGCTCAGGAGCATGTTGAAGGAGTTAAGTATGCCACAAGGAGAAGCGACAGAGGTATATGTTGACAACAAGTCAGCCATCGATCTGGCAAAGAATCGAGTCTACCATGATCGAAGCAAGCATATTGATACAAGGTACCACTTCATAAGGGAATGTGTGGCCAAGAGGATCGTTGAGTTGAAGCATACAAGATCACGTGATCAAGTTGCAGATATTTTTACCAAACCACTCAAAGGAGAAGACTTTACAAGATTGAGGATAATACTTGGAGTCAGCAAACCAAGTTTAAAGGGGGGTGTTAGTGAATAAACTTGTTTGGTCCAAAATTATATTGGGTCATCCAATTTAATTAGTTAGATCATTAGTCTTTTGTTTAAAATTGAGCCCAAATCCAATATGAAGAATAGACTAGAAAGAGATGATGAAAGTAGTAGAAACTTCTACTAAAATATCTAGATATTGTAGAATAATCAATAGAAATATCTAGAGGAAATATCTAGATATTAGCAAGGAAATTTCTAGATATTATGTGTAGGAGGAAAATCTTGAAAGTATGTAGAATCTTCCATGAACTCTTATAAATGGGAGTTAACCCCCTTATGTAAGGTGTGTAGAGAGTTGTGAGAAACCTTAAGCTAAAAGCTTAATACACTCCACCTTGTTTCCTTTTACTATAAAGTAGTAAAGCTCCCTTTCTCCCAAAATTTCTTTCTCTTCTATTTTCACTTCCTAAATCTATCACCTAAAAGATCTCTTCCTTATAACCCAAGGGGTTCTCTTGCTAACAACTGGCACGTGCGTAATGCTAAATGTTCTTTGCATCATTCCCTTTTCTGAAATATAGGCAAACTTTTATGAAAGAGTAGAGTATCACTGACTATATGTTTTTGGCCTATACCTCTTTCATGAGTTATGAGTGTAAATATGACTGATTAATTAATCTTATCTTGGTAACATTTGTTAGAGTTTTCCGGTGAAATGAAAACTGAAATGTTCATTTGAGAAAATTAATCTGACCTACTGAGTGCCGTGAATTTTTCCTTATTGTTTTATGCTGGTGTATTCTGCAATATGACATGGTGATGGAAAGCCATTTTGAAAACTTGTTGTTTTGGAGGCAACTGGTTGTGATAATGTTGATTATTTTGAGGAAGTTTATAAGGGTAAAAAAAATACATTTATAATATTTTAGTTACAGTGATTGAATATTTAGTTCATTCCTCAAGATCTTATACAAACAGTAATTGGCTTGTTTAAATCTTGTTACCAGTACTATGCCCATGGTAATGTGTGGCATCTTCCTGTAGGAGCTCAAGAAACAATATCTGTTTTGAAAGATTCTGGAGGTCATCAAGTACTCTCTTTGTCTCTACTATGATTACTTGATTAGGTAATAGCCTCTGTCTTTTCAAGTTTCAATTTCTGAAGCACGAGACATGAAACAGTGAAACTGGCAGTGGTATCCAACTTTCACTCGATTGAGGAAGCTTTTGAAAGATCTAAATGTATTAGATCTGTAAGTACCTACATTTAATTTACAGTATCTTGTTTTCTAAGTCTTCCTTACTTATATCACAGCGGTGTTTCTAATTTCATCGAGAAGAATAAGACCAGGTTTTTCCCTTCCCAGGAACAAGAATTATGTAGCATTTGAGAAGTTTAGTTCAGATAAGTTCAACTCAAAGTAAAGCTTGCACACTCGAGGGGATTATAACTAGTGCCACCGTAATTTGCAAGAAACTAAGGGCATTTCAACCCAGTAAAGCAGCCAAACAAAGAAACTTGAATTAGGCACATGATGAATTAATAAAGATACCTTCCAAGTCCCAACTAAAGAAGCAACACATAAAAACTGTTCCAAACTTAGGAAGGGAAATACAGACATTTCATTTGTCAGAGATATCATCTTACTCAATGTCGCTACAATGCCGTTGCAGTTTCAAGGTTCAATATGCATAATTCGTCAGTTCACACTTCACATGTTTTGTTAATGAGTTCGCAAACAGAGAAATTTAAACTACTTAAGAACTCACCAGGATAAAATGCTTTGTTATTCAGGTTTCATAAGGTTTTCAGGCCGTGAAAAGAAGTCTTTTGCATTGTGTGCCACCTCTGCCTCTAACATTGCTTCCAAAACTATGTTTGATCCAGCGACATGAACTGAAAGAACCATAATCACTTTAGTTATTTGTCAAGAACATTGATGTTAGAACCATCAGCAGGTAATAGCCTTGATAGCAGGAAACTTATTGATTCATTTTGTAAAAGGCAAATACAAACTATAGAACAATTCAAAACTGCACATGTAATGGAAAGTCAGGTTTCAACTCATAGATTTAAAAATTGCATCACCAATCACAAGGTGGGGCTACAGATACACTGCTATGCAGAAGAGTTTGTTATTTGTTGTTTCCGGTCTTTCCACATTTGTCCTATTCGCAAATAACAAGAAACGTGACGGGTTTTATTCCTCTATCCGTCCCAAAATGATTGTCCAGTTTGATTTTCATTTGCATTACAAATCGTACTAAAAGTGAAAATCGAAATCGGACAATTATCTTGCGACAAAGCGAGTATAACTTTTAAAGGAACTATATTTAATGCAAATATAACAGCCTCCTAAATGTATTTGAGATATGTTGTATCAGCATGTGTAACCATCCACTTCCTCCAAATTCTATCAGCTCTACACTATCATGCTAGGGTGGCCATTAATATCCTCCCAGATGAAGTAAAACAAGCGAATGTTAAGCGGCATGCTGCACCCTACTTCTTATGAATAACAGAATCTGTTTCTTGACTTCTCTCTGAAAAAAAAAACGTTTTCGAACAAATTCTTTATGCAAATCAAGGTCCTAAAAAATCTTCAAAACATCAAAATCTGTAGTTACAATATAACAACTGAAGTAATCTGTATTCGTCTGTCTGCACCAAAGAAGAGAACCACTAATTATTGTTATTTGGTACCAGCCAATCTAAGACTCAAATCACGTCTGCTACATGAATATGCAAAAGAAATGCTTCACAGACATCTCAATCAATGGATTACCATATGGTAGCAAATATCCACTAGGGCCATGAAGCAGGAAGTAGAGAGTGGAAACTTCCAAGTAGAAGCCAAGACAAGAGGTAGCATTTACCTTTCCGATGTGGTAACAATCCAGCACTTTCAGCTGACACAGGGAGGATCGTAAGGCCTGACTCATCAGTCAACTCACTTAGAATCTCGTTATTTGTGGATGAAGTACTGAGTGATGTGGATTCAGCTAGTTTTGCATAAGCAGTAGCTTGGTTGTGGATGTCAGATGGGTCTAATGTTGGAGAACCATGATCCTGGAAAAGACATTTATACCAGCTCTGTCGTGAAAAAGTTTCATAACTAGTAATTGTAAAAAAAATGCCTGATAGAATGTGATACCTTGGCTTTTGGGATTCCTAATGTTGTCTCTTTACCTGAATTATTAGGCGTGATTTCAACTGGGAATCACATTAAAAGACAATTGGATTAGTCCATGGCTTGTTCAAGAATAAAATTTTCAAATTCTGACGGAAGTTTACCATTGTTAGGAAGTGCAGTTTCCACATTGTCTACGAACCTTTGAGTCAAAGGGCTAGGATTTATAAAAGATATAGTTCGAATCTCATGAAGAATAGCTTCTAACTGTGCAATTGTATCTTGTAGTTCTTTATGCACCTGTGATTAGAAGACATAATCAGCTCATCTCAGATACAGCAGAAATCATTAACATGAAATTACAAACATGATCTTTTGCTTTATTTTATGGTATATAAGCTCAAAAAAATCTACTCGTGTGCGTGTACATCATGTGTTTACGTATGCCAACAAAATTTTAGAATATTAGACTGTATTTGGACCTGGCGAGCTTGAGTTTGCTGCATAACATTGTCAAATTGGCCACGGGCAACTTAGACGTATCCAGTGGTATGCCCAGCTAATCAACTAGCTGTCCGGGCAATTATTGGTAGATCCTTAGGGCCTAAAGAGTACAACATGCTTCTCAAAATAATTTATGAGCAATAATTCAACAATGATAGGAATGATGCTTTTAGGAGGGGAAAACAATAAAGTGTAGTTAGAAGAAGAAAAAAAAGCCTTGCATTATAAACAGCTAAAACAGTGCAAACCCAATAGATCACAAATTCAATTAATCATAAATAAAGTGAGTTATCTTGTATGAAATGAAAACATGTGATCATATTTCAAGCAACTTATGACATGTAAAATAAGATACTACATGAGCAATAACATACCAATTAGGGCAGCTGTAGCTCCAATTATGAGAAAGAGCTCCCCGTACGAAATTCCCATTATCACTATTCCTTCATATTTACCCTACTTGATGCACAAAGCAGCAGCAACAGCAATGTCACTTGCTTTTAATCACAACCATGAGTTGGGTACCTGCTAGTGTCCATTCCCAATTCAGGCCCAAAAGAGAGTTCTTTATGGATAGCTGGGCCGCATAGGGAGGGTCCAAAGCCCATGACAATCTTGGACTCCTGCGTGGGTACCTTTTTTGGACATATACTAAATAGTGTCCTATATATATCCCATGACATTTATTTCAAAGGGTTAATTCACACTCCTTACTCTCTCTCTCTAAGTGTGTATTTTGATTATTTTCTCTCACTATACTGACGTTGGCATCGGAGTACTAACCTTTGTCTTGCACGTCTCCGTCCTAGACGATTGTTAACTCGCCGTCTTCGAGATTTGCCTTCGTCAAGTGGCGCCGACTGTGGGGAGGCATATACTTGGTCGAGGGGGAGCTCAAGCGCTCTACAGAGTTATGGTCTCAACTAGGGCGAGACCTGAGGAGGGCCCTAGCCGACGCCCTACCGTCAGATCTGAGATAGTGAGGGAGTCGAAAAGGTGCTCGTTGAGGAGGAGCCCTAAGGAAGACCAGGAAGAGGACCGCGCCTCCCAGACTCGAGAAAAGGCTACTCACTCGCGCTGACACTCGAACAAGAGATGTAGCCATTCTCAGTCAAAAGGGAAGGAAGAGGATCGCGGACGAAGACGATCCCGACCGTCCTCAGAAGCTGCCAAGACCCCCGACCATCCGACCGTAGGCACAATGAAAACTTCTGGAAAGCATTTGCCCAGTGATACCCAGACTATGCGAGAAGGGTTTAACGCTTCGAGGACGATTACTACAAACGGAAGGATCGGGGACAGAGCACAAGCTTACAATTCATGGGAGAGAGACGAGGCTTCCGCCGATGTTCGGAGGAAAGGCAGGAAGAACCAGCGGGTCGCCACTCCGATAGTGGAGGAAAATCAACCTCCTATCACTTCCGGATTAGATCCGCGTCTAGAAGTTATCTTCGATGGACATGAAGCTCGATAGAGTCCTTTCACAGAGCATATTCGGGTTTGCACGAAGCCTGACAACTTCAAGTTGCCTGAGGACATCAGGAAATATGGGGGAGGGGGGGGGGCACTTGTCCTGTCAGCTTTCTTGCTGATTACACGGCGGATATGGATTTACGAGGGGCATCTAGAGAACTTATGGCCAAAGCCTTGCTGACCTTTCTTACCGACAGGTTCAAGACCTGGTTCGATAGCTTGCCCCCCGGGAGCGTCAGGTCATATCAAGAACTCGGACGAACGTTGCACGTTCGATTTTTCTCCAGCAAAAAGACCTCCAAGTCCATCCACGAACTAGCATCCATACGTCAAGGGAAGAATGAGACCCTAGCTCAATACTATATATGACTAGTTTAACAAGGAGTTAATGTTAATCGACCAAACCGATGACCTTGTTGTGCAGATAGAGTTCGTCAACGGACTATCTCCCTATGGAGCCGGGGCTGCGCTTCAGTATCAAGCGACCCGAAACCACCCAGAAGCTCTGGGAGATAGTCGAAAGGGAGGTCAGAAAGGAAGAGTCTCTGCAAAGGGCTCGAGAAACCTTCCCTCGGGACAAGAAAGAGAAGAAGCCTGAAGAACGAAGATCAACCTCAGGCGCGCCAAAGTATGATGTCAAACTCACGCCACTCACCAAGACCAGGAAAGAAATCTTGCAGATCCATAAGGGGGAATTTAAACTCTCCCTGAAAGGAAAGAACTTAGGGTCGTCTAATGACTGGTGTGACTATCATCAAGGAAGAGGTCATGACACTGAAGACTGCAAGAACCTCCAGCAGGAGATCGAAGACGGTCTCAAAGCCGGGAAATTCAAAGAGTACATATGCAAGGCTGGAGGTGGTGGTTCGAACTTTCGAGGACAACGCAACCAGAAGTGGAAAAAGAATGGTGCCAAGCCCCAACTCCCCAAGGCTGAGGCCGAAGCTACCGAGAAAGCCGAGGATGAAGCTCAAGCGCAGAAGATCTTGGCCGCTCTTGTAGGTGCTATTTTTGGGGCCTGTCTAGCAGTTCAAAGTATGATAGCCCTCAAAAGAGATGCACGACCAAGACCTCCTGGGGAAAGCGATGGTTATAGGCTGTCTTCGACCGAGGAAATTACCTTCTCCAACCAAGATGTCATTCTTAATGCGACTGAGGGATCGAACGCATTGGTAATTGAGGCAATTGCAGCCAACCGAGAAGTACGACGAGTGTATGTGGATAATGGGAGCTCTGTGGACATCATGTACTACGGCTGCTTTCAGAAGCTAGGTCTCGACCAAACCATGCTCCGATCAGCTCCCACACCGCTGGTAGGTTTTTCCAATCATGTGATTATGCCTTTAGGTGTGATTACTCTTGCTGTGACTGTAGGCACGCAACCCGTGTCTCCCTAGGCGGAGGAGTATTCGCCCGGTGTCTCCCATCCGTAAGGGTCGGCTCATATTCAGTCAAGCTAAACTTCTCCTCCAACTGTTCTAAATCCTTCCTCCTAAGAAGACTGCGTATATCTCTGACCCTGGTACTTTCCTTGTCTCCCATGTTTCAAGATTTAAAGAAAAGAAGAAATGTACAAAAATAAAAGGGGAGATTTATTGGACGATCGTCGTCGGTTCGAACCTAAAAAATCGGCCTCGAACAATGGATCGCTCGTAAGAATCGCCGGAATAAGCCACCGGAGAAGTTATGCTGTAGAAGGGAAGGGTGAAAGTGGGAACAAAAGAGGAAATGTCCTCCAAATGAGTCTGATCACCCCTTTTATAAGCATTGTTAAAGGAGACGAATAGTCACCTCAATTCCCCTGACGCCATCATTATACCGGTTGAAGTCCCAGGGCGATCTGAATCATTCTTTCCATCTTAACCGTTGATGCTTCCCTCCTGAGAGATTCAAAAATTTTATCATCAAATCCTTCATGTTAATGGGCCTTCTGATGGGCTCTTGAAATGTTGTGTCAAGCCCAAAATCACATAGCCAATTATGGGCTTGACAGGGGCTCTTGATAGTGTCCATTCCCAATTCAGGCCCAAAAGGGAGTTCTATGTGGATAGCTGGGCTGCATAGGGAGGGCCCAAAGCCCATGACAATCTTGGACTCCCGGGGGTCCCTCTTTTGGACACATCCCAAATAGTGTCCTATATATATCGCAAGACATTTATTTCAAAGGGTTAATTCACACTCTTACTCTCTCTCTAAGTGTGTATTTTGATTATTTTCTCTCACAATACTAACTTTGGCATTGGAGTGTTAGCCCTTGTCTTACAGGTCTCCATCCTAGAGGACCGTTGACTCGCCGCCATCGGAATTTGCCTTTGTCAATACCTGAGGAAGGAGAAGGTATCAAACCAACACTAAATTTAAGAGTATTTATTGAGTAAATTGGTTAGTAATTTCAAAGATAGATTTATAACATGCAGAAAAACTTCTTTTAGCTCGGCTGTTCAATGACAGTGACATCAAACAAGCTATGCAACCACATGGTGCCCCATTAATACTTTTTTTTTTCGGATCAAACGGGGATAATTTTCATTGCAAAATAATCATACAGGGATCCTACGAGGGTAAGCCACCCCTACAAAATCATGGAAGAACCATTGAATTGCTCCTGGCGGAGGCGAATCCAACCTATGAACACCGGGTGGATTCATCACCGCCAAGGATGCCAAAAAATCAGCCATACAGTTACGTTCTCTATGTACATGGCTAAGTTCTACACTCTAATCCCTACTCAAGTGTTGTCTTATGGCTCGAATCAGATTGTCATGAGTTGATGGAGGCCTATCATCTTCGAAAACCATTTGTACTACACATTGGCTATCTACTTCCGCCTGGATTTTTCTATATCCCAAATCCCAAGCTAACAAAAGTCCCTGATACAATCCCCATAATTTTGTTGCAATTGTTGAACAATACCCTATATTCATCACAAAACCGCCTTTCCACATTCCAGTACAATCCCTGATCAGGCCGCCCGATGTTGTCCAACCTGTTTGCCCGTCCACAGCTCCATCAGTGTTGAGCTTGAGCCAATCAGCCAAGGGAGGATCCCACGCAATCATATGGCAAGCTGTGTCAACCGGTTGCACACCCATCAACTTGTCATATTTCTCAGCCTCCTTAACCTCCTTTACTTTCTTCCAAATTTCCTTCCCCTTCTGATATAGAGTTATGGTCTTCACCTCAAAAACAAAAGCGTTTCGCCACGCCCAGATTCCCCAAGCAGTAATAGCAAAGAGTCTGGGTCATTCCTCTGAAATGTTGAATCTGTTCTGGAGATTGATTAGCATCCATTCCTCTAGTTGGGCTGGGTAAAAAGCATGCCGCAAATTTGATGGAACCAGGTTGTCCCAAACTTCCCTTGCAGCTGGGCAGTCCCCGATTACATGCATCTGTGTCTCCTCCTGCTTGCATCTTAAGCATAACACTTCTGTTGTTAGGTGCCTTTGTCCTCTCTCTGTATTTGTGAGGAGTCGGGATCTCACCAACAACCAAAGAAACACCCTGATCCTCTGTGGACCGTTCCATCCCCAAATCTCTTTCCATATCACTTGTCCATCTATTTCATCCCCCAACAGCGATTTGTAAGCCGACACCACCATGAATCTCCCTCGGGATTCATGCCTCCAGAAGATCTGATCTTTCCCCCTTTCTGGATTTGGCGGTAACAAAGCAACAATTTTCAAAAGGATCGTTGCCGGCAGCATCTGTGCAAATAAATCCCACCGCCAATTGCCTTCAAGATCAGCGTATTGACTTACCATCCAATGGAACTATTCTTGCGGCACCTCCTCTATCGCTTTCATCTACAGTGATGCCTCCCCCTGGGCCCATGGATCTAACCAGAGTCTGATCCTTGCTCCATTATTCAGAGCCCAACCGATTCTATCTTTTACAGCTGACCATGTTTTTTGTATACCCCTGAAACAAGTCGAACAACTAGGCTTTTGCACAAGATGCAGCCCACCTTGAAATGTAATGCCATATTTAGCTTTCACCACCCTTATCCAAAGTAGCTCCTCCATTTGGACTAGTTGCCAGCCCAACTTCATCAAGAAGGCCTGGTTCATTAGTCTCTATTTCTTAAGCCCTAACCCCCCTGATTTCTTCCCTTGGCAAATATCCATCCAAGAAACCAGGCTGATTTTCCTGATTCTCTCCTATCCTCCCCGCAGAAAGGCCCTGGATGTTTTTTCAAGGTCATCACATATTGAGGCTGGTAGCTCTACGGATTGCATTGTGTAATATGGCATCATACTTAACACTGATTGCACTAGAGTAGCCCGGCCTGCCAGGGATAACGATCCCGCTTTCCATCCACTTAGTTTCTTCTTCACCTTCTTCATTAATGGAGCATATGTCCTCTTTGTTATTCTTTGATGCAACAGCGGCATTCTAAGGTATTTGCCTAAATCTTCTACACCCGAGAACCCCATTCTATTCGCCAACAGTCGTCTCCTTTCTGCGTGCACATTTTTGGAGAAGTGGACCTTTGTCTTGGCTGGGCTAATTTTTAGGCCGGATGACTGACAAAAGTCCTACAAAACGAAAGCTGCCATATCCACTTGTGCCTCCATTGCCTCCAAGAATAGAAGTATATCATCGACGAAGAGCAAGTACGGGATGCCAACCCTTCCCCTGTGCATATCGTATGCTTTCTCAAGGTCTATTTTGACAGCCATAAAACCCCTCTTGCCCTTCATGGTTCTCATTTTGTGTATCACTTCTTAGGCTACAATAATATTTTCATTGATGTGCCTTCCTGGAACAAAGCTTGTCTGCGCCAGCCCTATAATCTATGTTTGCAATCAACTTCGTTGCGACCTTGTAGACCACGTTGCAGAGGCTGATAGGCCTAAATAACGTAATCTTGTCCGGATTCTCCACCTTAGGTATAAGTGAAATGAGCGTTTTATTCAACTTTGGTGGTACTCCTCCTTTCATGATCGCTTGCACTGTCTTGCATACCGACTGCCCAACTACCATCCAATATTTTTGAAAGAATAACGCATGTAATCCATCTCGGCCAGGCGCCTTCAAGGGACTCATTTCGTCGAGCGCTTTCTTGATTTCACCTTTGTTCATCTCCATACCCAACTGTGTTATCTGGGTTGCTTGGAGGGCTAGGAAGCAACCCTTTACTGCATACTCCACATAAGGGAGGAGATTTGCAACGTACAAATCCCTGAAGAACTGCATCGCCATCTCCCGAAGTTCAGCCTGATCAAACACCCAATCACCATTCTCATTGCACAGTGCCTCAATGTTGTTCTTTCTTCTTCTGGTTTTTACCCAATTTTGGTAGAACCGGGTGTTCTTGTCTCCGTCTGAATTCCATTGGCGCGTTGACCTTTGCACCCACAATGCCTTTTCCTGGGCCAAAAGTACATGCAACTCCAACTGGATTTCATGCTCAAGATTGTCCAACGAGTGGGCTTGTCTGGTTTCTCTTGCCCGCTGAATTCTAGCTAAACGGGCCAAAGCCCTTTGTTGCTTTATGAAAATGTTCCCAAAGACTCTCATGTTCCATTGTTGTGCAACCTGCTGGAACTCCCCTGCCGCCTCACGGTAGCATTCCAATATTGCATCACCAAATCTGGAAACTCCTCATGAAGTAACCAAGCTGCAAGGAACCTAAACTGCTTTCTCCCTTGTTGGGCCGTTTCTGGCCTCCCGAATCTCACCATCAGAGGGTTGTGATCAGAGTGCCTTTTTGGTAGGTGGATACACAATGTACCAGGGAATTCATCTAGCCACCGATCATTGCAAAGGAACCTATCCAATCTCTGCTGCAGTGACCCTCTCCTCCAAGTGTATTTGATTCCATCTGTACGGACCTCCTGCAACCGACAATCAAATATCCAATTTGCATAAAAGGAGCATGTGATTCCCCTCCTAGAACTCCCCCTCTTACTCTCTGAATCGTAAAGTATACTATTGAAATCTGCTCCCACGAGCCATGGTCCCTCAACCCCCCTAGCAATACGATGTAGTTCTCCCCATACCTCCTGCCTTATGCCTGGTACAGGATTAGCATAAACGAAAGTGACCCAGAAAACCCTTCCCCTGCTTGTGACTATTGTGTGAACCCACTGCCTTTAACAGCCCAGAATTTCAACTTGTATCCCTTCCTTCCAAAGAACCCATATTCCCTCGGCAAAGCCCCTTGCCTCCACCCAAAATGATCTATCAAAACCACTAGTTCTAACAAACTTGTCAGCTTTCACCCTTGGATCCAATATCGAAACAACATCAGGTTTATGTAATTTCATCATATCCTCAAAAGATCGTCCAAAGGGCATAGAAACTGCACCTTGAACGTTCTAACACATAACTTTTAAATTCATAAATACTTACAAGGATAAAAGGATACCTTTCACGCTACAAATTGCTAGGGACCTGTGTTCCTATGGCTATGTCGTCCTCCTCCATTCCGGTTGCTATCAGCGGACTGGAAGGGTGGTCCTTCGACTCCACCTCCATTCCTTTGCTACCCCATTCCGATTAATCATCCTGTATGCGTATCTCTCCCACCGGCGGCCTCTCCCTTCTTCCCCTATCCTCCAATTCGTCCCCACCAGCCTCCAATTCCATCGAAGATTGCCCACCGATGTCACCAAGACTGTTACCGTCGTATGTTTCGTCGAGTCTAGAGTGGTCGCGACCCGAATTGCGTTTGACAAAGGATCGATTGATACATCCCCCCGTGTTATAACTTGACTCTGGTCTCTATGGTACGTTACCTGGGCTACTCTTAAAGGGCCAACATTGAATCCTTCCTTATTTTTATTTAATTCCTTATTAATGGCCAATCTCCCTTGTGACGTCGGTCCAGACTTTGGGCTACTGCATTGGGCTTCTGAGGGTATGGCCTTGTTATTTTTCCCTACTAACTTCCCCTTTCCCTTGGGCTCGTCTCCTTTTGGCCCATAATCAGGTCCAACTTGCATCCCCTCCTTCCACACTCCACTGGTTTGGCCCTTTTCCTTTTTTTTTTTTTTTTTTTTACGAATCAGATTTGGTCCTGATGGGACATTCTCATTGCTTGTCCCCACCGTCTGACACGCCGAGATTTGTTGTTTTCCTTTTCTGAGATTCGATTCCTTCCTCCTGGAGACGACTAAGCATCGAAAAACGAGATCCCTCCAAGAAACCAGTGGATTCACCCCTTGTCCTCTGGAAATTCCTTGCCGGCCCTGTACCTTCCTGTTTTGGCTGCGTGCATCCACTCTCCAAACAGCTTCCCTCCCGTTTCCGCCGTTGTTCCGGCGCCCTACCCCACCCTGCACGACTGTTCTTGTTCATTCCTTTGCTGCTCCGGTCGTGCCACTGGGGGTTCCATTGTAAAGGTGCATTCTCCGGCGAGATGACCAACTCTGCCACACTTCATACATATGCACTCCAAATTTTTGTACTCAACAAGTTGAATCCGGTCTCTGATTTCAAATTGAGAGCACATGGATAGAGTAAGATCTACCTCCACAGCCAGCCTAGCGAATTTGCCTCTAGTTTTTGCAGCAGTTTGATGGTCTATATCGACCTTCCCCACTAGCTGGACAATTCTTCTTAGAAAGAACTTATTGTAATGGTGCACTGGTATACCCGGGAGTCGTGCCCAGACTGTCATGAACTGAACTTTATCCACCTTGGCATCAAAGGTGTTGGTCCAGCATTGTATGTGGAGATAGTGTACTCCGATCAGCCAAGGGCCCTTGGTCATTACCATTTCGACATCTGTTGAGCTCACGAAGCTGACTAGGAAGTAGTCTCTTTCCATGTTCAACACCACGAATCCAGAGTTTGAAAGATACTTCTAAAAGACAAGGGTTTGAAAGATATCATTGACAAAAGCGAGCATACAACAACCATCCCAAACTAAAAAACCGATGCTTTTGTCAATTCCTTTTGCCTTATTGGCTTTACACTAGAACAGAATCAAATACTTTGTATACAATTTATAGATTAAACACGTTATCGCCCCAACAGAAACATGCAAACAAAATACAAAAGAAGCCATTACTATTTAACTTAGATTTTACATCCAATTATCTTAAACAGTTACAAGCAAACGGAGGTTCAACAAAATGACTATCGCTATGTCGCAAGGAGAGCAAACATGGACAACATTAAACTTTTACATTGACAAACCCCAATCAACAAGAACAGAATCGCGTTCTCCATCATAGTTTCTACGCAGAGGTTTAAACCTCAATGTCAGCCAATATCAATTACAATTGATCTTTTTTTCACATAAATTTCCTTCATAACATAATTAATTTTGGCAGTAAACTCTTCCAGAAAGCAACATCCGAACAACAAAATCGAGGGAACAATCATAGCCAGCTGAAAAAAAAGAAAAGAAAAAAAAGCTATATTGGTCAAGAGAATACCTTTCATCAGCTGAACACGATATAGTTACTTGAATGATTCTTCACAAACCAAACACTGAGATAAGGTTTGGATTTATGAGGGAAGCACGAAGCAGAAATGGAAAAATGTTTTTCCGCCCGGCAATTGGCAGGGAAGAAGAGGATAAAATACAGTTTGGCCCCTTCATTTTAGTCTTTTAAGACTTTTGGACCCATCTATTTTTTTTTTTGGGGCAAAATGCTTGGGAACCATTTCATTTCATTTTATTTATTTATTTATTCATTTGGTAATAATTTTAATTTAGGGCATGAAGGAAGTGTAATCATTTTTTTCTTTAATAAAATAAACTAGTTTGGAATTTGGATGATTATTGATATTGACAAGAAACAAAATACAGAAACTGTAAGAAAAACGAGATATAAATTGATTTTCACAATATTCTCATGAACAATTTGTCTACAAACCATTTTTTACTTTCTACTTTGTTTCCGGGAAGGAAAAAGGATCCATTGTTTGTGACATCCGGCATTACTTTCAATATAGATCTTAGCCTTAAGAGACCAAATCTTAAGATGTGGTGATTCTGGCCATGACATGTTCTCATGTACGTATACCAATGATTATTCTTCTGATGACTTGAAGGTTCTTTTGGCATCCTTTTCCTTCGTATGCTTGGTTTAACGCGTGATAGATACTTTGCTAAAAACTGCTTAATATTGGCTTAGATTCATTCATTCTGTTGCGATTGTTTGCGGGGCAGTTGGCTTATACGTTGCTCATTTATTTGTTTTATTACAGGAAATAGAGTGTTATGTTTGTGGGAGCAGTGGCCACCTTCGCTGTGTAAACTATTCCGACACCGTTCTGAGAGCAATTACATGTTACAGATGTGGCCTTTCGGGTCATACTGGTTTGGTAAGCTTTATCAGATGTTATTCTATATGATTTGATCTTTAGTGTATTATTTTCCTCACTATTTTGGCTACCTTTAAGTTTCCAGTCTGGTAATTGTTTGAACTAGTTCAACTCCAATTCCTGATGGCCACTTTATTTCAAGTCAGAGAGGCATGCCTTTTATCTTCAGGTTATTACAGTAATTTGGAACGTTTATAAGGGTTGTTTCCTTTCACATCCAACAATGATGGAGATGTAAAACCACTGAAATTTTACATATCTATGCTGAAGATAATATTTTCTGTATAGTCTTTCTTTTTGTTCTCAAAATGAGTTGATTACCTTGTTCTCTTATAAGAGATCGAGTGATGTGTCATGGAACCCTCACTATTCAGCTTCGCACAGTCCAGGAACACATCATGGTAACAGATTTGCGCCAAATTCAGGTTATTCTGCTTATAATGGATCACCTCATTTTTATCCAAACCGATTCGAATCCAATTTTGACAATATTAGTAACTTTGCTCGGAGAAGAAATAACCATTGGTGACACCATGAAGTTTCTCAAGGTTTTTTCTTTTTCTGTAGCCCCCAAAAAAAGGATAAAAAGAAAATGGGCGGCATGGATTAATTTAGGCTGTTGTATCTTTTGATTGTGGGCTTATAGGCTTGTAACTATGGTTTTAGGGGGTGTAGTGGATATGTTCATACATGTCGTAGCTCTCTCGCGGGGAGATAATTATTGAAAAGGAAAGAAATGTAAACGAAGTTTTTTTATTGGGCTTATTTAGTTGGTAGATTAAAATATCTTTTTTTTGATATGGTTTTTGTCTAGAAAGTTTAATAACTATTAATTTACATCTTTTATTAGTTTGTTTTGTTTTGCTATGTTCTATCTAATTCTACGATTTTTGGAGTAAACTTCTGTATTCCAACGTTAGGAGAGATTTGTTACCAAATCATTAGTGTTTGAGGCTTTAAGCAATAATGTTGGAAAAAATATACTATTTTGGTCTCAAGAAGTATTCATTTTGAGGTTTATGTTATTTTCAAAGGTGATACTAATTACGTGATTGATATACTAACTCTATTTGGCCGTGGTCATCTATGGGTTTCAGTCATCAATAAATCAAATTCCACATCGTTGAAGAAATTAATAAAAATCACATTTTACTTCTCTGTTCTCAAATAAGCGCAAACTTGAAGTACACTATTTATTTATTTTATTTTTTATTTAAAAAAAATCCACCCCATTAAACCCCACTTAAAAAGTACACTATTAATGTATACTCTAGTCAAAGAATAAATAAAATCCTTGAGTAGTGGAGTGTACCAAAAACTTGGAAAATAGTACTGATCACCTTCAATTTTAGATTAAAGGGAATTTAAGAAGGGACTTCAAATAAGTTTTATATTTGTATGCTTTCTTGCAGTCGTAACTGAAAAATTGTTAATATTTTCACAATTTGTTACCTGGTATATCTTTTATATACCAATATCATTTGATTTGTACCTTAACAAAGAAAAATTGCACAAAGTTTTTGTATACCAACATCATTTGATTTGTACCTTATCAAAGAAAAATTGCACGAAGAGAGATGACGAAAATGCAATATAAATAAAAAAGAACTAAAATTCATCCAAAAAAAAGAACTAAATCTGAAATGATCCTCTATATTTGACCAAATATATACTTTTTTCCTCTACATTATATATTTGGCTAAAAAAGTCCTTTACAAAGGTACGTAGCAATTATTTTTCCCTGTTGGCACTATTTGACCACATTTAGAATCAAGTCAATAGAGATTTTTTTGGAATAATATTTTTTTGAATAAAATAATTTATATAAAAAGATTATAATTACAAATAGAAAAATACAACGGCTTAATTCAAAGTCTTTTACAGTTGAAAATAAATTCTCTCAAAGTAAATTCGATACATGGGCTAGTTATCGAATTCCATAAAACCCAAATGACCCCACTCTGCAATAAGTAAGGAATTGGGGGCGTCTTACTACAATAACTTCCACTTTAAAATCGTCTTATTCTTCTTCTTCCTTTCTCCGACTAGAAACATATAGTGCCGCCGTCTGAACCTATCTGAACCTAAGGAAGAAATTTTTATTTTTTGCAGCTCTGTGTGTTGTGCCTGGGAGTCTACGGGCATTTGCACATCCGCCCTTTCTGCTTCCTAAATTTGGTAAGAAATTGGATTCATTGAGACTGTGTTGATTTAGACAATGAGCTAAATATCAAATTTGGGAAAAAGAATTTAATAATTGGATGTCCTGTTTGGGTAACTTGCAACAATTGTTCTGTTTGACATTCTTAATCAATGTTCCATCTGCTCTGCTATTCTGTGATATTCCTTTCAATGATAACTCTTGGCTACTGTCTTTTAGTGATGTAGTTAACTGTCTATTTTCTTAGCAGATGTTGTGAGTCAAATGTAATCTCTTCTTCTATTCTATTTTCTTTGATTTTTTCATTGTGAAACCATGAAACTTATGTTTTGAGAATGAGCTAGGATAAATATAATGCTATAGTTCCATTATTGATAGGAAGAGTTCTCCTACCTTTTCTTTTCTGAGCATATTTTCTTTTTTGTTTCTATAAAACAGATGTAAATATTAGTTTACGTGTTTACGGTTTAGGTTTACTTAGTTACAGCCTAGACTAGTATATCTATATATATATATATATATGTATATATATATATATATATATGTTATACTAAACCCTAATGAGATCAATAATGATTATCGGCTGATGATTGACGCCAACTGCCCCTTCATCTTCTTCATGGTATCGAGCTGGTTGTTTTTTTTTTCAACTCTGATCATCTGCAGCCGCTTTGTCTGAGAAGAGTGACCCCCCTTCTTTGTCCGATGATGAAATTGAGCCTCCCAAAACTATCTCTCCTTTTGACATCCAATGACAGTTCTTGACTCCTCCTCACTCATGTTTTGTTGAAGGGAGAATCCAACTATGATGAATGGTCCAAGGTCGTGCGTATGGGGCTTCGAGCTCGCATGAAATTCGATTTTGTTGATCGTTCACTCAAAAAGCTGAAGAAAGCTTCAAACTTGGAAGATTGGTGGACAATTCAGTCCTTAATTAGTTTGTGGATTCTGAACGTGATTTATCCTTCCATTTGGTTGATGATTCCACAAAAGGAGGTGGCCGCCGACTTATGGGATCACCTTCAGCAACGTTTTCTGTTGTTACTAGCTCTCGGGTGCAGCAATTGAAGGCCCGATTGGCTGAATGTAGGTAACGTTCTTCATTGGTTGTGTCGTGCTACGCTCAACTGCAAAAGATTTGGGACGATATTGGTGATTCTGATCGTCCTTCAGTCGATGCTTTGTGTGCTCCGTGTCAAGTGCAGATGGCGGAGGTGCTGGAGCTTCACCAGGAAACAGAGCGATTACACCAGTTCCTGAAGGGATTGACCTCCGACTTCTATGGCTCTGTTCGATCCCAAATTCTATCCACACAGCCACTGTTGAACCTC